AAGGCTGGGATCTAGAATGGTAGAAGAGTAGAATGAGAACACGTGTGTGTGTGTGTGTGTGTGTGTGTGTGTGTTGGGGTTGAAGTGAGGAAGAAGGGGAAATATAAGGATACAGGTTTGGGCTTGGGAAAACAAAACAAAACAAAAGTTTCCAGAGCTCAGAGAGGAACCAGGATGAGGGCTCTCATAATTAGCAGAATCTAAGCAAAAACATGCATCCAGTTCCCATCTGAGAGTGCTTCTTAGAAGATTTCCTTTGGGACATGAAGTTTTTCAGGCTAAATATTCACTTTAAATCCTCTGCCCCTTGAAAGTCATCATAGGCACCCTCTGGGAAGTGGGGTTGACAGGATCTAGTTTACAAACAAGTTGTCTGTGAGCCATGCTGGTGTTGGGGCCATCTGCAGAAGGCTAGGTCCCTAGAACCAGGAGCCACCAGGCTGCATGTCCTCAGTACCGGGCAGTCTCCTCTGGTGACTCAATATACAGGAAGAACTTGTTTTGGAATTAGATAGGAGGAGGCACTTCCTGAGAGATATGGATCTTCATATCTTGAGCTACACAAGAGGGGGGATGCATGTAAGACTGATCCAACTGGGTGGAGCCCCGTTAGATGCTCATTGCCAATGCACCCTGTTCTCTTTCCATGCACCTGCCGCTTTGCTTTCCAATTCCATCAGATACAGATATGAAAGCTCCTGGGATAGGACAGTTCCCTGATGTCACCACTCACTTTGTGGTGCTTCATTAAATGTGGTCGGGGATATTTGAATATTAGATATGAAGGACACTAACATTCGAATTTTGTTATGTGTGATAATATAGTTCTATAAGAAAATGTCCTTTGATTTTAGATGTGTATTTCAAAATAATATGGGGTTCAGGATGTCTACAATTGACTAAACATACTTTAGCAAGAAAAGCAAATGATGCAAATATTGTTATATGCTAATAATTGTCAAACCTAGCAAGTATTTGCATGCTCATTATACCATTCTTTCTACTTGTTCATACCTTGGAAAATTTCCACAGTAAAAATTGAAAAAAAACAAAAAGCAGCTGGGCATGGTGGCATACACCTGTAATCCCAGCTACTTAGGAGGCTGAGGCAGGAGGATCAAGGTCAGCCTGAGAAAGTTAGTGAGAATCCTGTATCAAAATAAAAAATAAAAAGACTGGTGGTATAGCTTACTGATAAAGCCCAGAATTTGGAAGTCCTTGGTTCAATCCCTAATACTAAAACAACAACAAAAACCAAAACTCATACATGTTGTAGGGAGATTAATTTTTTTTTTCTCCTTCAGAAAAATTTCTAAAGTACCTCTTAGGTACTTAAGGTACAAGAGCAGGTGTAGACATAGTGCAATTTTGCTGGGCACAATGAATGAAGACCTTGTGCTGAGAATTCAAACAGGAGGGTAGATTCTGGGAGACTGAGAAAAGGGTAGGGTTTCCTTTAGTCTCTAGGCTTTGTTCATTCTCATCCATGGCCAGAGGGGCCACCTTAGGGGCTCAACAATGGCAGGAGGTTGGCAGGCTAGAGGTCCTATGTTGATGTTATGACCCAGTTTGGATTGCCACTGAGGCTGCCCCACAGTATGCATTACCCACCACCCAGCCCTCTCTGAGAGGACCCATCATCTACCTGGAGCTGGAGCTTCACCCCCAGATTGGCCACCTCATGAGGAAACATCCCCCATTTCCAGAGCTCCTGGCTACCTTGGATGAAGGTCCATAGGTCTCCCTAGCTGAGGATCAGCACCATCCCTGGGATCCCTGTCACAGATAACACAACACTTTTGCCACCTTTACCTCCTTTGAAGCTCATAAAGGTCCTAATGGATGCCCAGCCATATTTCACAGAGGGTCTGGGGCTCAGGGAAAATGCCCCAGTCAGGAGGGGGAGCTGGCTCTATTCCAGCCCTGTCTTCCCATTTTTCCTGCACACTGAACCAATGGTTCTTGCTTTCTCTTTTGAGATGAGGAAACAGAGGACCACCTGCAGAGATTAAAAATGTTTCCCAGGTCAACTGACCATTGCTATAGATGGTATATGGACTAGGTTTTTAGTCCCCAATGGGAGCTCCCCATGGAATCCCCAAAAACTTCAAAGAAGGCTGAATCACAAGGCACCAGGATGGGAGGATGAAAACTTCCAAGAATAGCTTCTTCTTCCAGCATAGCTCCCTGGAATCCCTGAGCAGGCCTAATCAAGGTGTCACTTCCCTCCAGGGGGCAGCAACCTGATTCAGCTGCAGTCATGTCCCCCACCCCCACCCTTGTACCAGAGATTGAACCCAAGGGTGCTTAATCACTGAGCCACTCCCCAGCCCCCTATTTTTGTATATTATTTAGAGACAGGGTATAGTCATGTTTCCTAAAGCCCACAGGATGGCCTGCTGGGGGCCAAGAGGCCAGGGCAGCTGTGGATAGCCCTGTAGTGTTTGGAAGCAGGTGGCCAGGGCAGAATGCCTAGGACAAAATGATGTCCCCAGAGCAGGTGGCCAGTCCCCTGCCTCAGCAGATAGAGGAGTCATGCTTTCCCTAAACCCCTGGCCATCCCACACTGAAGGGAGCTGGGGGAGTCCTCTTCCTTCTGGGATCAGGCCAAGAGAGGATGTTTCATGGTCTGGGGTGGAAGGTTGATTCATTTAGTTAAACTCTTCAGGACATTGTCCTGCTTCCTCCAGAGAGCCTTCCCTGACTACCCTCTCAGTGTCTCTGCCCTCAGTTCTGAGAGGCAAAACCCCAGGACCCTTCCTCCTGGGTTCCCCACCCAGGAGGGTGAGAACCTCCCAGGTTCTGAGAACATTCCCAGGGTAGGATCTGGGCCCCTGCCCCAGTCTTGTGCTGGCATGGCCCTGGGCAACTCTGCTTCTGAGGGAGGAGCCCGGCATCTGCTGTCCAGGGGGCAGGAGCAGTGGAAGGCTTGACGGGTGGCCTTGGGGCAGACTTCCTCCTCTGAGACACTAGAGGTTTTCTTTCCTTTTTTTGCTTCCCTGTTCAGAGATTTCCCTTCCCTAGGCTGAGGTCAGGGCACCATAAACAGGAGTGATAAGGCTTTGGGCTTTCAAACTGAACTTTGCAGCTGCCATTTTATGACTCTGATAACTTCTCCCCACCCCCCCCTCCCAAGTCCGACTGGAGCAGAATTGCCTAGTGTCCATTCCATGAGGGAGCAAGTATGAAGGGAGAAGCAGAGAGAGAAATGGGAACCTCTTACTGCAGCCCACCCTCAACCAGGCTTCTCCTTGCCCTGTGGACCCAGTCCTGGTCTGGGCTGTGAGGAACATGGGAGAGTGAGACACCCTGTCCCTGATCCTGGGGGATGGGCAGAACAGCCTGGGCTGGGAGGTGAGCAAGCCTGAAGGGTAGCTGAGGGAGGCTGAGTAGGCCAGAGCAATCGGAGAAGGTCCTTGGAGGAGTGCTAGGATCGGGCACCAAATAAGTAGTGGAAAGAGAAAAGAATTAGAATTGGAGGAGCCTGGTTTGGGTTGTCTCAGGATGCAGAGGGCAGATATGGTCTGGTGTGAGAGGCAGGCTTCTCTGAAAACATTCTGTCTCAGGGCACAGAAACTTCCAAGGATGAAGGAATGTGTTGCCAATGGTAGCCCAAGATCCTTGGCTCATCCAAAAAGATTTTGAGGTGGCTGGAATCCAGGGATGTGAGAACCAGAAGGTTGTTGGAGTAGCCTGTTGGGGTAGCCTCTGTGAGCTTGGTGAAGCTTGGAAAGCTTAGAAGGTGGGTCTCATGTCTATCAGTATGAGGGGTAGGGGCTTAAGGCCAGCTAATGAGCTTCCCGTCCCCAAGGTATGCAACACACCAACTAGGTAGAAAATCAAATTCCTACCATGGGAGAGGATGGTTAGAGATCATGGGACAGAAGGGACTCGATGATTAAGATCACCCACCCTCCCACAGCCAAACTGGAGCTGGTTCCAGAACTGGAGTTCTCTTGCATTGTAGGTCCTGCTCCAGCAGTAACTCTAGGTTCCTCAAGGGATTGGGTAGATGTAGGGAAAAACAAAAAAACAAAAACAAAAACATCCTCTGTCCAGTTCTGCTTGGTGGGGAAAAGGTATGGCTCTGACGACTCTTGAGCTTCACTTTGCCCATTTTACAAATGGGCTTGGGTAGACTCAGTGAGTCTTGAGGATTTTGTTGTTCTTGGGGAGATGATCCAGCATCTGCCCTGTGGCCTTGAAGAGCCATCCACAGCCACAAGTGAGCACACCCGCAAGTAGGGCACAGGGGTATACATGGGTCAGGGGCATACATAAGCTTGTCTGGAGGAAGCAGAAGTAGGAGGAAGAGAGGGAAACCACAGCTTGTTGGCCATTGGCTCCCTGATCAGCTCTCCCCATGCATATGACTGGTCCCTCCTGTTAAAAACCACCCCTACACCCTCACTGCTCACCACCATCCTCCTTGGACTCCAGTATTTTCCTGCTCTCGTCGTCTGCCTGTCACCCACCTGATCCTAAGAGTCCTTCCCAGGACCTGGGCTCCAACGCTGGGATCTGCTGCTGAGACCTCATCCCAAACGTAGCCACAACGTCCCAGGGACACCTCTACTCCGGCACCACACAGAGAGCAACCCTCACGGTCTCCCACCCGCAGTCTATCAGATCTTCCATCTCAACCCACCACAGCACCGACTCTGCCACTCTGTCTCTTTACTCTGCGTACACCATGCACTCAGAAGGCAAGTTCCGGGCCCTCTCTTCTTCCCAGTCTGTCTATCAATCCCGGGATCACCTCACTGTGCGGGTTCTGGGCTGCGCTGGGAAGGACTGGGCACAAACTAGACCCCACCTCTCGGGTCTAGATCCGGTTGGGGGTTGAGGGAGGAGGCGAGAACCTGGAGCTTTGTGCGCCTTATTCCTCACCGGGTGCCCCTCATCGGCCTTACCCAGACGCGCGCACAGATGGCCCGGCTCCCGCCGCCCCCACCTCACCCCCAAGTGCGGGAAATCTGGGCAGCTGGGCAGACACTTACCGCGGGGCCGAGGGCGCAGGCGAGGGCTCCTGCCAACACGCAGAGCCAGCGGGCGGGCGGCGGGCTCGGCGGGCGCATGGTCCGCCCTGAACCCGCGGCGGGCGGCCGGTCGTGGGTAATGGGTTGGCGGGCGGCGTAGCTCGGAAGATGGCCCGCAGCCTGACAGAGTGGCGCTGGCACAGTGGCCCCAGCTCTAAGAGGCGCTGCTCTGGGGCTGGGGGCGGGCCGCGGGGGCTCGCCTGACGGGCGGCGGGTCTAGCCAATGGATCAGTGGAGGCGGGGCCGGCGCGCAGGTATGGGGCGGGGCTGGGGCGCCCCCGAAAGTGGGGAGTCCCCGGAGCTTCCTCTTCCAATCCCACGCGTCAGTTTTTCGTCGTGAGGCATTCATAAGCTTTCGCCCCTCCGGGCTCATCTCCGGGGATTCTCAAGACCCCAACACGCCCCATTCTTCCTTGCTTGGCTCACGACTTCCCCGAGCTCCGGGATGCGGTGTCCCACCTCCGTCCACCCCCTCAGTTCTACTCCAGAGCTCATCACGTCTGCCTTTGGAGCCACCTTCTCCAGGAGGCCTCCCCGCCAGCCTCCCTATTTCCCACTTTTGCGCATCTTTGGTCTCTGGAACGTGAAACGGATTACAAGACAGGAAGTGCCACTTATTTTCCCAGGCTGAGGGCTGGGGCCCGCATTGGGTTCAGGGCTGGCAGCGACCGGGGGTAGGTGGGACGCGTTGTTTGGTACATTTTCAACTGACCGGTGTTCTCTGTCGCGCCGGAGAGGCTGGGCGAGGGCAAGCGAGCGGCAAACGATGCCCGATTCCGGGATCTTCGGTGCCTCTCCTGTTTTGGGGTCAACTGGCGGGACCTGCTCCGCACAGGCACAAGGCCCTGGACTATTATACCCCGAGGGGCCCTGCTCCAGGGAGATGGGAGTGTCCGCACCCTCGTGCGTCTCGGCTCGGGCACCTCCCAAGGGAGGCTGGGCCGAAGTTCCAGCGCCCTCGCGCGGGGAGGGAAGGTCTGTTCCCAGCTCTCGGGCCCGGGAACTGCGGTTGACCTAAAAGGAACCAAGAAACCTTGTCCTCATCCCGCCTTCTTTATTTTACAGCTGGAGAGACTGAGGTCCAGAGAGGGTCCAGGACTCGGCTGCCTGCCTCTGGCGCTGCGCTTCCAGGCCCGTCGGTCGCTGGGTGATTTCGGGTTAGCCTCTCTCCATAGCCGGTGCTTCAGGCTCTGTTTATTCGACTCTAGAATGGGGCGCCCTCTGAGAGTGTCTTTCTTATGAAACAAGCTCAGATGGCTGCCTTGCCTCTTTCCGAGGGCTCGAACTAGCACCATAGAGACTAGAGGTGTGGTGGCAGCGGCCAGGATGGGCGGAGGGGAGTGGATCAACATGAATAGAAGGAGTGGCTGTGTCCAGTGGAGAGACGGAGAGGGCTGCGCGTCTACACAAGTGAAGCAGAGCTTGCAGCGGCTTGAACGAAATCTGATTCCAGGCGTCTGCTGACCAGCAGGTGCGCTGGAGTTTCTGAGGACCTGCTGGGATTTCCCTCCAGTTCCTGACTGCTGTTGGGGTGGGCTTGAGGAGAGCCGGTAAAGCATGAGCACTCTGGCCCCTCCTGGGTTCCTCTTACTTGTGGTGTACCCTGGCTGTCTACTTTCCCTCCTTTCTCTTTTCCAGCATTCCGTCACCCCTCACCTCCTCCTCTCCCCTCTTTTGTCGACCTTCTTTCAATGATCCTCTATGAACCACTGGCTATGCCCTGGATCCTGTGCTATGCACTGGTGGCATAGAGGTGGATACCTCTGAGGCACTCCCTTAACAGAGGAGGACCTGGGTAGTTATTGCTCTCCCTATAGTTTCCACCTCCTTTTCATTAATCAGGGAGCTTCCCAACATGTGGGACTGGAAGTGTCTCTGCTCTGGTCTTTCTGGGGTTTGGACCCAACCACTCAGTGAAGGTAGTGTTTGAATGATTGCTGGCCAGTTCCTCAACTGTCAGTATTCCTGGGGGCAACACTGTTTGCTCAGGACTTAGCTTCTGCTTATGACCCTGTGTACCACCTTTAAGGCCTCAGTACCCAGCAGGGCAGTTGCATCATGTCTTTATTCTGAGGAGTCATCTCTGCTGGTGCGGCACCCAGGAGCCCTTGATGTGAACAGCAAATCTGTGCATCTTGGCTCTCATAACCACCACCACCCCTTTCACACACACATTGCCTAGCCAGCTGCAGGATGCTGGTATCTCACTGATGATGGGATATCCTCCTGGCCTGTTGACGTTCTCCTGTTCTCTCTGAGATCAGTGTTCTCAGGCACTTGAGAGAGTACTGAGAGGGATGAGGATTGGGGAATAGGAGGGACCCCACTTTGCCATGTGACCCTTACCAGGTGGCTGTTGGACAGGGTAAGAAGGGAGAGAGAGAGAGAATCTTAAAGTCATCAGTGAGAACGGGATACCCTGTCTACACGAATCCCCTCTTCAATTGAGGGCTGGATGGCCGTGCCGGAGCAGAGAGGGAGACTAATAGTGCCTCCTTGTGTCCTTGTAGTCCTCCTCCCAGAAAAGGGAAGGTGACTCAGGGAGAATAGTTTTGCAGTAGATTCTTTGCAATGAAGATCATTTCTTTGTTCTTTCAGAATTGTTCCTCTGGGGGATCCACCCTTTCTTACTATCTGAGGTCCCAAAACATATTCAGAAGTGAAAAGGAGCAGAGAAGAGAAAAATAGCAGAAATAAACAAAAACCTAAAAAAAATTCAACCAAGGCTAAACTTGACCATGCTTCAACTAATTGCTCCAAAATGTCTTGTCCTGTGTTCTCAGACACTGGGGAAACCAAACATGGACTCACTCTTGGGGAGTTCTGATGAGGAAGCCATTTTTTGCTTACTCAGGTGACCTGAGGAGGCTTCTGAGAGGGGAGGAAGTGGAGGTGGGAGAGACAGGCTACAGGGAGTGGAAGTAGTTACGTGGGATGTCTGTTCCCCACCCTGCTATACTGTGCCAAGTCTGAGCTCCTCTAGTGGCCTTACAGTACAGACTGGGGAGGAGGGCCACAGACACCTCCTGCTCCCAGTCCCCATGTCCTTCTGCATTTTCTGAGCATTTCGTTCAGAGTTCTCCCCACCTGGATTCCTGGCATTTCCCCCTAGACTTTGGTTCAAGCTCCCGCCTCCCTCCTGCTTTTCAGAATCACAGGGGTTCAGAGGATGCAGGAAGTGGGGGAAAAGAGATGGAAACAGAGTCACTTGCCATCCCCCGTGACAACAGGCACAGCACAAGGGAATCTGCAGTTACTCATTGGGAGCCTGCCTGGCTTCCTGCCTGCCTCATCCCTGCAGTGTGTGCCACCCTCGCCTCCTCCAGTCCTTCAGCCCCTCTCAGAATCATGCACACACTGTCTTAAAGATCCTGCATAGGAACTCAACGGTGGCAAGGTTCTTCAGTAGAGTGAGAAGGGTGGGGACCTAGAGTGGCCTTGACCTGCATAATGAAGGTCAGAGGAAATGACCTGACCAGGGGAGTCGCCACTCCAGGATTCTCCATCCACATTACTGTTAGGATACAGGCAAGCTTTGCCTTCTCTGGATTTCTGGACCAACACCTTAAAGTCTATATTCATGGAATGGGTCTGGCAGCTCCAGGGATATGGGGTGCTTACTACCTCCCCAGGCTGTTCCTTCTTTGGGGGCCATTTCTTTCTGTGTGTAGGTATATTTTAACTCCAACTTGTGGTTTAGTGGAGGGTAGGAGATCCCTTTGGTAATAGCATGGATTTTGTTCATTCATTCACCTCTCACGTATCACTTATCCTGGTCTGGCCTTGTGATGGGGCTAGGGATTTGAGAATCACTTAGACACATCCCCTTCAGGAGATTCTAGCATTGCTTGGGCAGGGGTTAGGGAGGAACTCTTGCTGTTGCTAAAGGTGCATTTAGGAAGAAAACAAAGTTCATGGAGTACAGGTGATAAAGAAAGAATTGTTCAGACTGCCAGATACAGAAATAAAGCCCAGGGACCAGTTCTAGAAAGGCCAATCATTGATCCTGAAAAATGGGACTTAGAGCTGTGTGGGGGAGAGGGAGTGTCAACTATAGGTACCTCAGTTTAGCTTGTCCTGGGAGCTTGTCCTGGAAGTTTATTGGATGGCAGGGGGACCCTATGAAAGATAGAGGAGAAAGAAGAATTGGGCAGAGAGATCCTTGGACGTTGTACAGATCTGAAAGTAAATTCCTGCCAACCCAATTGTGAGTCCCAGAACAAAGATTGCACATAGAAGCCTTAGTCACTCTACTGTGCTTGGTCAATGGTTGGGGTTGTCAAGAAGAACATAGTCATGGCTTAAATGCTGTGGTGGGCCCTGAAGGTAATATAGCTAAGGCTGTCACATGGCATGCCCTATAGCTAAATGGCACAGGAAATCCCACAGTGGGGAAACTGAGGCTTGGGAAATGAAACAGGGAGGGGAGATTCTGCCATGCTCTAGGGGATAAAGAGGAGAACTTGGTCTGCCCTTGGGAGCTCTTAGTCTAGGCACAGAGAAGAATGACCTGAGAATTCCTTTCCTCACAATCATGGGCTCAGTTTGGTCCAGGGGTCAGCAGTCTATCACCAGGCAGCTTGGCATGAGGGTCATGGTGCCTTGAGTCTGGGAGACTGAAGAGGGAGGGACTGTTCCCTCCCATTTATTCTCCAATAACAGCCACAGACTCTGGTCAAATGCTTACTGCAGCAGGTACGAGTATGTCTATGCATGTGGGTGTGTGTGCATGCATGTATGCACGTGTATGCCTTTCCATATGTGTCCGTGTCTGTATGTGTCCTTGTGTATGGGCATGGGTCTGTACAGATTCATCTGTTCCCAGGTGGGAGTCAGAGTAGGGCTTGGCTGGTTCCCAGGAGAGTAGAGCTGGGGAAAGCTAGGGTCAGAGAGGGATGAATCTCAGAGATGGTGCCCAGGACCACAGACATCTCCAGACTGTTTCTCAGAGCTCATTTCTGGGGCAGTAGATTCCACAGGGAATGGCATATTCAACCATAGGGAAAGTTCAGAATGACTCCACAGGGGAGCTCAAAGTTCTCATTCACTTCCCTACTCCAAGGCCTGTCTTCCTGAGTTGGTATGTCATTGACCTTGGGCAGAGATTTGGAAGAGAGACATAATGTGAGTGTGACAAAATAGACATTGACTTTAAATAAACATAATGCCACCAGAGATTCGTGTGAGTTAAAAATTCGTAGAAGTACATGTGAAAAAATGGCAATCTCCATGTAACTCCCAAATAACCAAAAGAAAAAAAAATGAAACTTAAGAAAATACCAACAATCCAATAAAAGGTTGTGTGTATGGGAGGATAACCAAGAATACATGATACATAGAAGCATAAAAGCAGAATCAAGAATAACTGTAAACATTAATTATCATAGTCAAAGTAAATGAGAATTTTTAAAATTTGTTTTAATTAGTTACACATGACAGTACAATGATCTTAAGTAAATGAGAATTTAAGGTGGAAAACAAAACAAAAAAAAACCACAAAGAGGACAATTCATATTATTAGAACATTCAATCTATCAAGAAGGTAACCCCAAACATCTATGCATCGAATCAAATAGCCTCAAGGCATATAAAACAGGTATTTTAAAAGGGAAGAACTGTCAAGTCTACAATGCTTCTCTCAAGAATTCTATTCAGCCGTTAAAATAAATGGACAAGAGCCACACATCTCTCAATAGAGGTGTACATAACTAAAATAAGCTGTTGAACAACCAAAGCAGGTTGCAGAATGATATGTATGTTACAATGTTACTTAGGTAGATTTAAAATTCTGAGAACAATACTAAATAACTTTTATGGACACATCATAATATAGTGAAGGTATAAATAGTGTTCAGGCATGGTAAACACCCAAGCCACATTAGTGGTTACCTTTGCATAAAGAGGGAAGAGAAAGGAATAAAGTATATTTATTTTTAATTGCTGTGTAACAAATTACCACAAATTTAGCAGCTTGAAACAATATTCATTTATCATCTCACATTTTCTGTAGTCAGATGTCCACATGTGGGTTAGCTGGGTCCTCTACTGAAACCAAGGTTTTGACCAGAGCTACAGTTTTGTATGGAACTCAGGGTCCTCTTTCAAGTTCATTCAGGTTGTTGGCAGAATTCAGTTCCTTGGAGCAGTAGGACTCTCTTTTTTTTTTTTTTTTTAAGCTCTTAGAGGCAGACTTCAGGTCCCAGCCCCATGACCCTCTCCATAGGTGTTTGTGTTTACCAGACCAGTAAGACAGCACCCATTGTATCTTTGAACCTCTCTGATTTCTGTTTCCAGACTTTAGATCTCTTCAAGAAAGGCTCACCTGATCAAATCAGCACCCCCTATACTCAAGGGGAGGGGATTATACAGCCCCCCCCCCGCCACTACAGGAATCTTGGGCACTATCTTAGAATTCTATTAACCATAGGAAAGGATACACAGTGGGTCTCCAATAACACTGACTTATTTAAAAAAAAAATCTACCGCAAATATGGCATTATATTTCTAATGGGACTAGGTGGTAGATACAGTGGATCTGATTTTCTTATTCTTTTGTATGTTTGGAAATATTTCACACATCAACACATTAAGTTTAATCTCCCCCATCCCCGCCGCCACTAAGTAACTTTTGTATTAAAGGAATAAAAATTGGGGGCTTTAGCTCAGTGGTAGAGTGCTTGCCTAGCATGTATGAAACACTTGGTTCGATTCTCAGCACCACATAAAATAAATAAATGTGTTCATTTACAACTAAAAATATTTTTTAAAGAAAGGAATACAAATTAAATTATAAATTAACCTATAATTCCTCTAAATACCAATGAATATTAAAAACCAAGTGGTCTGGATATTATATAATTAGAGAAAAGTTTTAGCTTTAATTTCTTTTTTTTTTTTTGATACTAATCAAATTATATTGTTATATCATGTACAAGTACACATATGTAACAACAAATCCCACTATTATGATTATGCATATCATAATACAAATTATAATGTAAAATATGGAAAAGAACAAATTCAGAAAAGCTGTAGGTAAATAATAATAATAATATAAACCAAGAAAACAATCCAATTTCTTAAAAAAAAAAAAAAAACTCAGGAATAAATCTGACAACCCCAAGAATGGGAAACCTTGGCTCTCAACAAGCTCCTTTGTGCTAGTCTTAAAATCATAGATCACAGGGCTGGGAGTGTGGCTCAATGTTAGAGCGCTTGCTTAGCATGCATAAAGCCCTGGGTTTGATTCCCAGCACCATTAAATAAATAAATCAATATCCCAAATATGAAAACACATGTCCTGACTTGCTCCAGGTTCCTTCTGGTTACTCTTTTTTTTTTTAATTTTTTATTGTTGGCTGTTCAAAACATTACATAGTTCTTGATATATCATATTTCACAATTTGATTCAAGTGGGTTATGAGCTCCCATTTTTACCCCATATACAGATTGCAGAATCACATCAGTTACACATCCATTGATTTACATATTACCATACTAGTGTCTGTTGTATTCTGCTGCCTTTCCTATCCTCTACTATCCCCCCTCCCCTCCCCTCCCCTCCCCTCCCCTCCCCTCTTCTCTCTCTGCTCCCTCTACTGACATTCGTTTGTCCCCCTTATATTATTTTTCCCCTTCCCCTCACTTCCTCTTGTATGTACTTTTGTATAACTCTGAGGGTCTCCTTCCATTTCCATGCATTTTCCCTTCTCTCTCCCTTTCCCTCCCACCTCTCATCCCTGTTTAATGTTAATCTTCTTCTCATGCTCTTCGACCCTACTCTGTTCTTAGTTACTCTCCTTATATCAAAGAAGACATTTGGCATTTGTTTTTTAGGGATTGGCTAGCTTCACTTAGCATAATCTGCTCTAATGCCATCCATTTCCCTGTAAATTCTATGATTTTGTCATTTTTTAATGCAGAGTAATACTCCATTGTGTATAAATGCCACATTTTTTTTATCCATTCATCCATTGAAGGGCATCTAGGTTGGTTCCACAGTCTAGCTATTGTGAATTGTGCTGCTATGAACATCGATGTAGCAGTGTCCCTGTAGCATGCTCTTTTTAGGTCTTTAGGGAATAGACCAAGAAGGGGAATAGCTGGGTCAAATGGTGGCTCCATTCCCAGCTTTCCAAGAAATCTCCATACTGCTTTCCAAATTGGCTGCACCAATCTGCAGTCCCACCAGCAATGTACAAGTGTACCCTTTTCCCCACATCCTCGCCAGCACTTGTTGTTGTTTGACTTCCTAATGGCTGCCAATCTTACTGGAGTGAGATGGTATCTTAGGGTGGTTTTGATTTGCATTTCTCTGACTGCTAGAGATGGTGAGCATTTTTTCATGTACTTGTTGATTGATTGTATGTCCTCCTCTGAGAAGTGTCTGTTCAGGTCCTTGGCCCATTTGTTGATTGGGTTGTTTGTTCTCTTATTGTCTAATTTTTGGAGTTCTTTGTATACTCTGGATATTAGGGCTCTATCTGAAGTGTGAGGAGTAAAGATTTGTTCCCAGGATGTAGGCTCTCTATTTACCTCTCTTATTGTATCTTTTGCTGAGAAAAAACTTTTTAGTTTGAGTAAGTCCCATTTGTTGATTCTAGTTATTAACTTTTGTGCTATGGGTGTCCTATTGAGGAATTTGGAGCCCGACCCCACCGACTGTAGATCGTAGCCAACTTTTTCTTCTATCAGACGGCGTGTCTCTGATTTGATATCAAGCTCCTTGATCCATTTTGAATTAACTTTTGTGCATGGCGAGAGAAAGGGATTCAGTTTCATTTTGTTGCATATGGATTTCCAGTTTTCCCAGCACCATTTGTTGAAGATTCTATCCTTCCTCCATTGCATGCTTTTAGCCCCTTTATCAAATATAAGGTAGTTGTAGTTTTGTGGATTGGTTTCTGTGTCCTCTATTCTGTACCATTGGTCCACCCGCCTGTTTTGGTACCAGTACCATGCTGTTTTTGTTACTACTGCTCTGTAGTATAGTTTGAAGTCTGGAATCGCTATACCGCCTGATTCACACTTCCTGCTTAGCATTGTTTTTGCTATTCTGGGTCTTTTGTTTTTCCATATGAATTTCATGATTGCTTTCTCTATTTCTACAAGAAATGCCGTTGGGATTTTGATTGGCATTGCATTAAACCTATAGAGAACTTTTGGTAATATCGCCATTTTGATGATGTTAGTTCTGCCTATCCATGAACAGGGTATATTTTTCCATCTTCTAAGATCTTCTTCTATTTCTCTCTTTAGGGTTCTGTAGTTTTCATTGTATAAGTCTTTCACCTCTTTTGTTAGGTTGATTCCCAAGTATTTTATTTTTTTTGAAGATATTGTGAATGGAGTGGTTGTCCTCATTTCCATTTCAGAGGATTTGTCGCTGATACACAGGAATGCCTTTGATTTATGCGTGTTGATTTTATATCCTGCCACTTTGCTGAATTCATTTATTAGCTCTAAGAGTTTCTTTGTAGACCCTTTTGGGTCTGCTAGGTATAGAATCATGTCATCTGCAAATAGTGATAATTTAAGTTCTTCTTTTCCTATTTTGATGCCTTTAATTTCTTTCGTCTGTCTAATTGCTCTGGCCAGTTTTTCGAGAACTATGTTGAACAGAAGTGGTGAGAGAGGGCATCCCTGTCTTGTTCCAGATTTTAGAGGGAATGCCTTCAATTTTTCTCCATTCAGAATGATGCTAGCCTGATGCTTAGCATAGATTGCTTTTACAATATTGAGGTATGTTCCTGTTATCCCTAGTTTTTCTAGAGTTTTGAACATAAAGGGATGCTGTACTTTGTCAAATGCTTTTTCCGCATCTATCGAGATGATCATATGATTCTTATTTTTAAGTCTATTGATGTGGTGAATAACATTTATTGATTTCCGTATATTGAACCAGCCTTGCATCCCAGGGATGAATCCTACTTGATCATGGTGCACAATTTTTTTGATAAGTTTTTGTATCCGAGTGGCCAGAATTTTATTGAGGATTTTTGCATCTAGGTTCATTAGAGATATTGGTCTGTAGTTTTCTTTCTTTGAAGTGTCTTTGTCTGGTTTAGGTATCAGGGTGATGTTGGCCTCGTAGAATGAATTTGGAAGTTCTCCCTCTTTTTCTATTTCCCGAAGTAGCTTGAAAAGTATTGGTATTAGTTCCTCTTTAAAGGT